GCAATTACAAAGCAGGCAGCCACCTGTTCCGTGTCCTCAGACATTCAGCCCTTGACCTTATCATCTCCCTTCCATTCTCACTCCAGCCTACATTTTCCTCTAAAGTGACTTTAAGCATTTAAAGGGTCTATGCTCAATTCCATAATCATAAAAATGTAGTTCTTTCTCATACTTGATTGCTAAAACACCCTTATGTATTTACTTCCCTGAGGCCTCCTATAATTATTCCCTAATCTCTTTCGTTGTCAGGTAAATCCTATGTATCATTACATGACTGTCAGGATAACATTTTACATTTTTATACATATGTTTGAGTTGACTTATAATAGTTGCAGATATTTATGGACTACATGGTGATATTTCAATACATGCATACAATGTATAATGATCATATCAGGATAATTAGCAAGTCCATTGCCTAAAAATTTTATTTTGTGTGTGTGTGTGTTGAGAACATTCAATCTCCTGTCCTTTTGCTATTTGAAAATACACAATAAATTATTTGTTAATTATAGTCACTCTTCAGCATTATAGAACTCTGGAACTTATTCCTCCTACTTAGCTATAATTTTGTATCCATTAACCAGCCTCTTTCCAGTCCCTCTTTCCCTACCCTTTCCTGCCTCTAGTAACCACTATTCTATTCTCTACTTCTTTGAGACTAACTTTTTTAGCTTCCATGTATGAGTGAGAACATGCAGTAGTTACCTTTCTGTGTCTGGTTTATTTTACTTAATATAATGTCCTCCAGGCTCATCTGTGTTGCTGGGAATGACAGCATGTCATTGTTTTTATGGCTGAATAACATTCTATTGTGTATATATACACAATTTTATTTGTTCATCTGTTGAGAGACATTTAGGTTGCTTCCATATCTGGCTATTGTGAATAGTGTCACAATAAACATGAAATTGCACATATCTCTTTGCAAAATTATTTCCTTTTTGGTAGGGAAAAGGGAAATATATACTCAGCCATGAGACTGCTAGATCATATCGTAGTCCTACTTTTAGCTCCTGAGGGTCCTCCACATTGTCTTCCATAATGATTGTACTAATGTACACTTCCACCAATAGTGTATGTGTGCTCTTTCCTTCACATCCCTGCCAGCACTTGCCTCTCTTTGTCTTTTTGATAATAGCCATTTTAATTTCCATGACATAATATATCATTGTGGTTTTGATTTGCATTTCCCCAAATCAAATGGCCCAAAATCATATGAAAAAAATTCTTCTTGGCCATTTGTACGTTTGGAGAAATATCTATTCAGATGCTTTGCACATTGTTGAATTAGATTATTTGTTTTATTGCTGTTGAGTTGTTTGAGTTGCTTATATGTTCTACGTATTAATCTCTTGCTGGATGCTAGTTTACAAATATTGTCTACCATTCTGTAAGTTGTCTCTTCATTCTGTTGACTGTCTCAGAATCTTTTAAGAAAAAAGATTCTGCGCAGAATCTTTTAAGATGTAATTTCATTTGTCAATTTTTGCTTTTTCTGCCTGTGCCTTTGAGCTCTTAACCACAAAAGCTATGCCTAGACCAAGACCCTGAAGTCTTTCCTCTATGTTTGCTGCTAGTAGTTTTACAGTTTCAGGTCTTATGTTTAAGTCTCTAATTCATTTTGAGTTCATTTTTTTGTATGACAACAGACGGTGATCTAATTTTATTCTTCTGCCTATGGATATCCAGTTTTCTGAGGACCATTCATTAAAGGGCTGTCCTTTCCCCAGTATATGTTCTTGGTGCCTTTGTCCAAATTCAGTTAGCTATAAATATTTGGATTTATTTTTGGGTTCTCTGTACTCTTCCATTGGTATCTTTTATGCCAGTACCAAGCTGTTTAAATACTATAGCTTTCTAGTACATTTTCTAGTACATTTTCATGTCAGGTAGTGCTTTGCTCTTTTTGCTCAAGGTTGTTGGGATATCTTAACTCCATATGAGATAGGGTAGGTAGCATTGGAATTGGAGCTTTCCATGATGTTCTGCTTCCCACCTCTTTGTAACACTGTTCAATCCGCATGGCTCTATGTATATGTTATTTAACAGTCACCATTTCATCATTAATTAGATAGGAAAGGATATGCATGAAATATATATTTTATTCATTTTCTATTGTTCATGTATTCTAAATTTTTCTAATCAAAAAACAGTGAAGATAAAATGTTCTGAGATGTAAAATTAAAAAAGAAATGATTTGTAAGGGAACAATGCAATAATCAGTGGCTCTAAGGTTGTTAAACATTAGACTAATAATTGCTAAACATTATCATCTTCATCTGCCTCATATGCATTTTTTGCTTTATTCAACTTGATGCAATTTCCTTTTTTTCCATTTTAGGAATCAACAATCCAGAGGCATAAATAAATAAACTTCAGAGTTTTAAAGTTGACTCTTTCTGTTAATTATTATCAATAAAAGACAGCATAGTCATAGTAGCATGGGTTAAAGTCTTGCAACTTCTTTAAATACTTCAATAAAATAAAAAGTACACAAAATAATGGTATCTTTATTTAATAATTGTAAAAACTCCTAACTAGTAATGAATGCATGATTTGCTCATTTACAAATTCAATGTATAATAATCTGAATTAATAGACAAATGATAACATTATGGATGATGTTTTAATTAATAAAAATGACTTAAGTATTATTTAAAGTTATCTTTGTGTCTGAAATATTCTCAGCTTTGCAGTGAGCTAGCAGAAGAAAAGTGAGACTTACATGTCTTCTTAGTACCATTTTTAGGATTATCTTTGACATGGATTTCTTTGGCAACATCTCTCTACAAAAGACTGCCTTTGTAGGCAATTTGCTTACAAAAATATTGCATAATGCTGTACTACTGGTTTTATTTCATTAGCAAGGAACAAATTCCTCCATCTACCCAATTGAAGATCATTTCTTTTTTGCTGAGAATTCTGCAAAAATAAAATGGCTTTTTCATTGGCTCTTTTCAAAGTAATGCATCCCAAACATCCCAGGAAGAAATGCCAGCTATTCAAGCAATTCTGTCATATTTGAAAAATGAGCCTTTGCCTTAGAACCTCAAAGGGAAGGACTTGTCACCTACCACTGCTGTTTTATCACGGTGCTTTTGTACTATTCATCTTGTTTCTTGTCAACTGCTTTTTAAAATAGACTCGTTGTAATTACCAAATGACAATTATAGTTTTAAATAAGGGTGTGGAGCACTGAAAGTCTGTTGCTGTACATGAATTGAACTTTTTCTGAAAAATTTATAGTGGTTGTGTTTTGTACAAGCAAAAGTACCCATGTAAATTTTGCCCATTAAATTTGGTTGAAGCATGATACCTTAATAAGGGAAAGTCCTTTTTCTATTTACATATTTCAAATCAAGTATGTATTGAGAATATTAATAAATAGAATAATGATCAATAACAAGCTAAAGTATTAATTTGACTTTGTGCTAATGAGCAATGTCAATCAATGATTACTTTTCTAAACATGTGGAAGAACAGAAGCCTTGGAAACATGAAGACTGATGTCCAAAGTCTTGCTCTATCACTTGTTGACTGTATGATCTTGGGCATGTTAAACAAGAAGCAATAATTTTCTATACCTTGTTTCAAACTCCAAGAGGGATTCTTTGACTAGTTATCGAAACATAATAATTATGCAAATACTAATAACTGTAGTCTCCAAAATTTGGCTCATCATGTCCTAGACTGGTAAAATGCAGAACTTGATAGTCCAAAGTTATCTCAAATTAAGTGAAGGACCTAATGCCTGATCCTTCTCTCTTAAAAATTATTAGTTTTAAAACTCCAAAAACTTGTGATAATTTCTTAAGTTACAATCCTATTTTTTTTCCTTCCAGACTATTCATCCTTGAGTTCCCCAGTTAAAATATCAAAATTCTAAAAAAGCTCTTATCTTCACCCTCCACCAGGCCCCACCACTTAGGTCCCCCTCCCCAATAGCATCCTTGGTCATTTATTCACAGTACTTATTACAGTTTTACAATATTTATGTGTATGAGCATTTGACAAATATCTGTACCCTCCTCTACAAGATTATAAGCTACTTAAGGACAAGGATTACTTCTTTTCCTTGGCTTCTTATCACATCTTAAATGCAGGGCTGGGTGCATTATCATGATTCAACAACAATTTGTTTTTGAGTGAAAAAGCAACGGAATAAATTAACAAATAAAAGTTGATAGCCTTTACTCAAACTTTGAGATATAATACTTTGAGTAAGGGCTTAATATGCCATCCCAAAGTATGCCACATTGGCATAAAGATTATTTTAAGCATATACAAGAAAAACTCTCTCCCCTCTCCACATTCACCTAAAAGAAAGACATAGATTTACTAAAGTGCCTCTGTCCTTTTTTGACCAAGAAGGACAAAGGTTGTTCACAGAAGGTGACTTTAAACTACAACCACAGTAACCTTATTATGAAATTAACCAACAAAATATTACACGTAATTATAATATGTGCACATATTAATAAAACCCTAAAATTTCCTGAATACGAATGCATGGCTCTGAAGTCACCCAGATTTTAACATCTTTCCCCTAGCTTACAAGTTAAAGAGATAGCTAAAACACTGATACTTATTGTGGAAGAATAACACTATTTTTTCTTTATGTATAAGAGTTTCAACCTAAGCAACCTATCTTTCTGTGCAACTCCCAAAATTTGATCCCTTCTCAGGTGAAAAAAAACTTTCTTTGAACTTTATACCATCTCTGACGCTGTAATTTAGGCTCCAGCAAAATGTCACACCTACTCCAGAAAACTGCACAAATTGCAAAGTATGAAATTAAATTTTAAATAATTGTCTATAACTTCACTTGTTGCTAATCTAAAATAAATAAGTCCAAAGTTGAAAAATATGCAAATCTTTTTAAAGGTTATTTCAAAGTCCTATTTACATTTGCAAATATCAAACCATGACTACACCACAGAAACTTCAAGTTTCAAAGAGAACGTGGTTCTGCTTCTAGAAAATGTTTAAAGGACCATAAATGCGTTTACAGCTTATTCCAGAAATCATAATTATTAATAAAATGCTATCGAAAACTTGAAAGTGAAACTCAAATGAATTTGTTTGCAATATTATACTGCTGCATATAAGAGACCCAACCAACTATTATCTAATTCTTTAGGGAAAGGTACCAATTTTTGACTTATTGTTCACTATTGATCAAGCCCAGACTATATAAAGTTAGACTTGTAAAACAATCAGTTATAAATAATTTTGACTAATAAAGATGCAATAATTATTTTCTGATAGAAAAGGCCACAAAAAGGGTATAATTTCAATTGTTCTGCAGGACATCACTATTAATGCTTTCGTGCAACCTTATTCCAGCATTATTTATTCTAGTAACCACGCATAATCTACCAATTTTCTTCTGAATCAGCTTTCCCATCCTGTAGGTTTCTTCATTAATAAATTAAATAACAATTTGACACATGCTTTTGATATGCTTGAATGCAAATCAAAGCATGTGTCAAATTGTTATTTGAATGGTTGAATATAAATTATACCTTTTGAAATGTATGCCTTAACACAATTACTACAAAAACTTATTTATGATTTAGGCAATTCCAGTGAGTCAAACAAATCACATTAGATCTCTGAGTCTAGCTGATCACCTTCTCCATGCACACACTCCTGCCCATTATCCTACTATGGTAAAAACATCATAAGAACACTAAAAATATTCCTCTCTCAGCTATGCATACTTTTCTGGAAACAGATTGTGTTATCTTTGTAGCTAAATTATTTCTCTCTCCTAAATTAAAGCTGTTAATACAGCAATCAGTGAATTCTATATGAAACGAATGACTAGAAGCATGAACATTGCATCCAACAGACAAACCATTATCAGGAGTGCAGAAGAAGGGCCATGATGCAATGTCAGTAAACATGTGAGCCAAACAGGACTTGGACTCCTCTAAGACAAGTACTTAAGCTCTGGGGAAACAAATTTGAGAGTCTGCACTGTTTTTAAAGTTATTCTGTTGTAGTGACATTTATTTTTATGATGATATGCATTGGCTTTGTTAACTAGTTGAGATAATTAAAACTATATTAATAATGCCATTAATGAGTAATTATAACCTGCACTTAGTGAATAAGAGGAAAACTGATTGGAAAAGTTCACAAATTTGAGCTGGGTGCAATGGCTCATGCCTGTAATCCCAGCACTTTGGGAGGCTGGGGCAGGCAGATCACAAAGTCAGGAATTCGAGACCAGCCTGGTCAATATGGTGAAACTCATCTCTACTCAAAATACAAAAATTACCAGCCTGGTGGCAGGCAGCTATAGTCCAGCTACTTTGGAGGCTGAGGCAGGAGAATCGCTTGAACCCAGGAGGCAGAGATTGCAGTGAGCCAAAATCTCACCACTGCACTCCACCCTGGCTGGGCAACAGAGCAAGACTCTGTCTCAAAAAACAAAAATAAGTAACTATTATAGCTATCTAATAAAATGACTAACTGAAGTCTTGACTTCAGAAAGCTCCTGTGTCAGCAAACCCCCATTTCTTCAACATTAGTTATTAATAACCATTAGTCTAGCTGGAAATGATAGACTCTGCTTCCAGTAATTTTCTACCCAAATCAAATTTAAGAATATAGGCAAATAATTTTCCAATTCTATAGCTCACTGTTAAAAATTCTGTTTCACATAAAATACCAGGCACACGTGTGTTTGTGTGTGTATGTGTTTGTGTGTGTGTATGTGTGTGGGTGTAGGTGTCAAAATGTTACTATTAGGAATGGAACAAAAGAGATACAATTATGGAAATCCATATTGATTTATGAGATAAAACATCTTACAAAATTTAGCATTTCACAAAGCTACTACGCTTCCAAAAGGAAGTCTTGTTCTATTTTTCTATTAATGGCGGTTTAGCCAACAGAGTAGGAAATCATATATTTTCTGTAATTTCATAAACATTTTATTTTCATGTTATCCATATATCAAATATAAATAACACAGTACCGTGCTGACATATAGGTGCATTCTTTCTACTTGTCTAAATAGAATATCATTTGAAGATAACTCATGTGAAGATGTTCACTTCCCCTCCTTTTCTGCACCGGAAGCTCCTGGTCTAAAATGCTTGCTCCGTTTTTTTGGTCCCTTTCCTAACACTGCCTATTTCTTTCATGTATCAGACCTCTACCAACTTCAAAGGAATGTAGGTGAATCACTCAGGGAGACAGAGAAGAATGAGAATCAAGTCCAAGGGCACTGAAGAATTTACTGAATAATAAGTCACACATGGAAAGAAGAATTAAAACTGATCTTTTCTTAGCAAAAAAAAAAAAAAAAAGTATGGAAGAGACTAAACATGTGCTGGTAGGCACTGCAGATCTTATTAAAGCAGTCTTAATTAATTTGCTATTTATAGGCAAATAAAGACTAAAAGAAAGTTTACCTTTGTATGATGCCTGAGGAAATGGACTCAACTAGCAAATGAGTAGAATGAACAAGATCAGAAGACATTCAAAAGGCAAGCTTCTTTCAGACACAACAATAACATCTACCTTTTCGTATAATAAATGTTCTTTACCAATAAGTGCAGCATGCCAATGTGACCAGCCTTGCGAACCTGCTACTTTGATGTGTAAATCATAAATCAATCGCCATTATTCACTCATTAAACCAGGACCTTAACAAGGCAATGATCTGTTTCTATGTGCTATGGTTTGAATGTGCCCCCTACAGTTCATGCGCTGAAAATTTCACCTTCAATACAATATGGCTGGGACTTGGGGCCTAATAAGAGGTGATTCGTTCATGAGGGCTCTGCCCACATGAACTGATTAATGTCCTTATCATGGGAGTGGCTAATTTTCTTGAGTGGGCTTGTTACGAACATAAAGGCAGCCCCTCTTGCTCTCTCACTTTCTCTTCTCCTTTCCACCATGGGATGATGCCGCAAGAAGGCCCCTGCCAGATGTGGGTCCCTTGACCTTGAACTTCTCAGCCTCTAGAACTGGAAGATACAAATTTTCTTTTTAAAAATTTACCCAATCTGTGGTATTCTGTTATAGCAAAAGAAAACAGATTAAGATACTACATGATCATGAGCGCTCATCTAAGTAGTATGCTGTTAAAACGTTTTAAATGATGAGATCTAAGTACAAAGTGCTTTAATAGAAGGCCTAAGACAATATATTAAACGTTTTGTAAGAGGTTTTTAAAAATACTTTTTTTCACAATCTACTAAATTATAAAAACACTCAAAAATAATTAAAAATATAATAAGATAAAATCTTGATGAAACTACCTAACCCTGTTGTTTTAGTGATTACTTTATAAATATGTCTTTTATAAACAGGCAAATAATCTGCAATTCTAAAATAGGAAATCAAAAACAAAATTTTAATATAACCCATTGGTGATGAATCCTGAAAAGTCCTGACATGAGCTTACATATAGTCATCATTTTTTGTTAATGCAAATTAACATTTAACAACAGAAATATTAATGTATTTTATTACGGTGTGCTACCCCAAGCACTCCTTTACATGCTAAATAACATACAAGACTATGTTTCTAAAGTAAAAACCGTACTGAATTTTGAAAAACAATTCATCCCAGTGATTTCAGATAAGGGATCATGGGATGATATATGATGATCTGATGTATAATTTTACATAATCAAGGTTTATACATTGCTCTTTTTAAATTTTTATTTTCCTGAGTTATTTATACTTGTCTTGGCTATTTTTGAAAGTCTTTATGTAATAGAAGTAAATTAAAATTTTAATACTGTGAAAATACTTATCTCTCTTTAAATTTAGGCATTAAGAGTATATGTCATTATTATACAATGAAAAAAATGAGAAGTTTTGAGTGTTAGAAAAGTATTTTAACTATAGATCAATAAATATGGATCATGAATAAACTGGAAATCTAGTAGCAACCCAGTCATTCTTCAGATTAAAATATAAGACTCCAGAAAATACTGAGCCACATTTTTTTTAAAGCGTGGCTCAGGATGAAAAAAATACAGCAGGATTTGCAATAATGGTAGCATAAAGAGTTCCGGCACTTTATTCATCAGGTGATAATTATAAAACTTGAGCAATTACATTAAAACAGAATTTGAAGGCAATAGAAAGAAACAAGACATTTTATTTTGTTAAGTAAGAATTGCAGGTTTATAGCTTTTTAGCATAACAGCACTGTACAATTCACTCATCTGTGACACCAGAAAACTATAGCCTTATCACTTGAAAATGGAATATGATAAAGTTTGTGGCATCAAAGCAGATGAATAAAATGTTTAAGGAATATACTCTAGAAGCAAGAAAATCTCAGAAGAGGTGAGTTGAAAAATGTGAATACAACCCCACCCACTCTTGCATTTCCACATCAACTTACTACCCCTTATCATGATCTTCCTGGCTGAATGTTAAACCATGTATTTGCACAGGAAACCCAGAGAGTTTAGCAATAAGGAAGACGAAAAAGACGGAATGTTCAATCCCTTAAAGACAGACCTGTTTCTGATTAGATTAGTAAGTTTTTGTGTGTGTTCTCAGAACTGCACTTTTATGTGGAAGGAACTGGCCATGTGTGGCTACTGAGTACATGAAATGTGGCTGGTCTGAACTGAGATGTGCTGGGAAGGAAAAATAGAGTGTGTTTCAAAGATTTAGTACCAAAACTTATATATTTGATTAATAATTACATAATAATCATATATTAAAATGACAATATGTTGAGTATATTGTGTTTAAATCAATCATTATTATCAATTTATCAATTTTTAAAAATAACATACAAATCTAAATAAAATAAATATAAAAAGAACAGGCAAGGTGAGAAAGTACGGTTAGTTCCCAACTATCCACTCATCACAATACTTCCCACACATCTTTCCCTTGCGGATACTAAGATCTTTAGGTCACAGAACCTGAAAGCCTTCAGAGAGGTGATCTATCAGATCTCACAATCTGACTTGGAAAAACAGATCAATAGAGTTTGGCATATATTAATCATAAAATTCTGAAATTGCAATCATTAGCTTTCTCATAATGAATGCAAAGGAGTGGTGTTTAAAGATATCTCTTTTTTGGCTTTTTACAAATTTTCAACTGTGTCTTTAGTATATAGAACAGCTCATAGTGTCTAGCTCATGTTGAAAGATGTGTAAGTCTTACAGAGATCCTCATAGGTCTAAATCAGAAGTCCTAACATTCACATGTTCTTAAGCCCATTGCTTGTTTCCTTCGGTTTATGAGTTTTTATAAGTTCTTTGAGGGCAGGCTTTTGTCTCTAATTTAATTACTGTGTCTCCAGTACCCAGTATGCTTCCTGAAACAACAGTTCTTCAATAAATATCTAATGTTGAGGGCATTACTAATGTATCTAGAGAACCCAAATTATCTAATAAGCAAATAAGGGAACTTTGTACCAACAAAGCTGCAAATAACAGGACAAAATACATAGGAGCTATAACAGCTATGTAAGAAGCAAATAGCACAGAGTTACAAACAGTAACACCTCTAAACCAAATGGCCATTTTGGTGAACAAGAAAGCATTGTGGAAATGTAGGATTATTAACTGACAGAGGAAAACATAAAGAATGATTCAGTCCCCATTTTGTTTCTGTCTTCTCTGATAAGAAAAGTGCCCTAAAATCATAACTGGGAGACTAAAATAAGTATTTGCAAAAGGAAATTAAAACCCCAGATAGCTGAGAAAATTGCAACAGAGCTTATTGTTGCTACTTTAAACAAGTTTACATCTCTTGTCTTAAATGAGTTACATTCTTGTGTACTAAGGGACTCTGTAAATGAGATTGCCAGGGAAACAGAAAGGTAGAAGAACTGGCCAACAATAGATAAGGAAAGTGATTCAAATGACTAAAGGGCTTGATCCTTATATCAGGTAAATGTGTAAAACGGAAAATATAAGGGATAGCTTCTGAACACTCAGAATGGAAAGCACGGCTTGCTTTAGGCCAGCATAGCTTAATAAATGACATTTAATTAAAGTAGTTACTTTTCTTTATATTGAAGTATTTTTAAGCAACATAATGCCATTCTACCCCTATGTATTTGATATGAATCTTAAATATGAGGGCATTTTCTTATATCATATACTATTATTATACTAACAAAACTAATAATAATTACTTGCTGTAGTAGTTATTTATTGCCAGGTAACAAATTACCACAAATTTAGCGGCTTAAAAAAGAAAACACGAATCTTTTTATCTCACAGATTTTTGTTTTTGTTTTTAACTTTCATTTGAGGTTCAGTGGTACATGTGCAGGCTTGTTATATAGGTAAATTGTGTGTCGTGGGAGTTTGGTATACAGATTATTTCATCACACAGGTAATAAGCACAGTACCCTATAGGTATGTTTCCTGATCCTCTCCCTCCTCCCACCATCTACCCTCAAGTAGATCCCAGTGTCTGTTGTTCCCTTCTGTGTCCATGTGATCTCCTTGTTGAGCAACTACATGTAAGTGAGAACATGTGCTATTTGGTTTTCGATTCCTCCATTAATTGGCTTAGAATAACAGCCTCCAGGTCCATCCATGTTGCTGCAAAGGACATGAAGGACATGATCTCATTCCTTTTTACGGCTGCTCAGGATTTCATAGTATGTACATATTACATTTTCTTTATCTAGTCTATCCTTGATGGGCGTTTAGGTAGATTCCATGTCTTTGCTATTGTAAACAGTGCTGCAATGAACATATACATGCATGCGTCTTTAGGGTGGAACTATTTATAGTCTTCTGGGTATATACTCAGTAGTGAGATTGCTGGGTCGAATGGTAATTTTTCTGTAAATTTTTTGAGGAATTGCCATACTGCTTTCCACAATGGCTAAACTAATTTACATTTCTACTAGAAATATACAAGTGTTCCCTTTTCTTTGCAGACTCACTAGCAGAGAGGTTATATGCCTGTAATTGGTGTTTAAAATCACACAATCCCCCACATTTTTTACTAATAGCCATATTTTTAATAATAGCCATTCTGACTGGTGTGAGATAGTGTCTTATTGTGGTTTTGATCTGCATTTCTTTAACGGTTAGTGATGTGGAGCATTTTCTCATATGCTTGTTGGACACATGTATATATTCTTTTGAAAATTTTCTGTTCATATTTCTTGCTCACTTTTTAATTAGATTGTTTGGAATTTTTCTTGTAAATTGGTTTAAGTTCCTTATAGACTCTGGATATTAGACCTTCGTCAGATGCATAGTTTGCAAAAAAATTTATCCCATTCTAGAGGTTGTTTACTCTGTTGATAGTTTCTTTTGCTGTGTAGAAACTCCTTAGTTTAATTGGGTCCCATTTGTCCATTTTTTGTGTGTCTCAGTTTCTAAGGAGCAAAAATCTGACATAGCTAGTCAGACTCTCACACTCAAGTTGTAGACTGGCTGTGCCCCCAGCTGAGGATTTTGGGAAGAACCCACTTCCCGGCTCATTCAGGTTATTGGCACAATTTAGTGCCTTGTGTTTGTAGGACTCAGGTTTCATTTCCTGACTGTCAACCAGTATGGATTCTCATTTCCTCAGCCACTCATGATTTCTTGCTCTGGGTTTCTTCAGATGCTCTCTCCTGGGCTCTCACATTACTGTGATCAGCAGGTGCATGTATCCCTCTCTTGGATTCCTCTCAACTTTTACTCTCTGACTTTCCCCTCTACTCTGAGCCAGAGAATGTTGTCTACTTTTAAGTGGTTCGTGGAATTATGTTAGGCCCACCAAATAATCTCCTCTTCCTAACACAACGACAGGAGTAACTCAAGGAGCAAAGGTCAAGAAGTCATCTTAAAATTTTACTTACCACACTTCATAATGTCAAATACACACTCTATAATCAAATCCCTTCCTTTTATTTTTCTGTGAGTTTAACTTGAGATCCAAACAAATTCCATGTACTGTGTTTGGTTGTTAATGGTTTCAAACCTCTTTTAATACAAAGCAGTGCCCTATATTAGCCATACTTCTGACTCAC